AACTTCCAGGGATGTGCTCCTGGACTCTGTTGTAATCAATTCTGTTATCCATTTATATTCAGTTATTAGTTTACCATTGTGATTTATTATTCTTGCGCATGGCTTGGATGCACTTTATTTTGTATTTCTAAAATGATACAAACGTTATGCATGCTAATATTATTTTCCATTGTTCTACAAATGGGCCAGTTCTGATGAATGCTTGTTCAGAATAAATCACTTTGGTTAAACTCAAATTATATTTAGCAAACTATTAATATGATCTTTTAAGAACTTCTCTTCAACCTAACATATTCTGATAAGAACAGAAGAGTAGGAGGTATTCTTCAGTACTATTGTGAGACTGATAAATTATAAGTTCTCTATTTCTATGTCTTACATTTAGGTGAATGATTTTGATTAATTACATTTTCCAGAATTTGGAAGCTATATTTTATCTTCTTATATAGTGTTTTGTCATCTCATACTTTACAAAAACCTGAGGTAAAATGCTGAATTAGAGTTACTTTAGTATATTACTTGTAGTATATTGGGAATTCAGAGATTTGTATCATGCAGATGTTTTCTTATATCTGATTCCTTATGAGCAAAATTAATGACAATTCTTTTGAAGTTAGAAAAATCCTAGCTTTAATGTGCAAAACAATATTGCATTTGTATTATTTATTTTGTTTTCCCTAGACCTTTTGTAATGTAAGATGGAAACAATACTTTATTTTACAATTTTAGTGACTTCAAAAATGAGATGATTCTGCATAAAGAAATATAGTTTTACTTTAAAACCTGTATAAATACTACATTATACCCTAGGTAAAAGGTAATGTCCATACTGGAGCCACTGTAGCTCATAATACCAGAGCTCATACTGGACTCCATGGTATTAAGAGATCTAGAGAATGTGTGAGTCCCCTCACCAGAAAGGACATCAGTCCACCACAGGGCTCACCCCCAGCAATGCTGGTCTCCACTTACACAGCTGGGTGGCCACTTGTGTAAAATATCTCACTCAAAGGTACTACAGTAGATCTGCAGCAAGGGCCTGAATCCACAACCTGTCAGAATTCAGCTGTGTACCCACTATGCTGTGCCATCCCCCATTATACCCTAGGTGCTTCAATCATGTTTACTAATGCTAGGTGCTATGCCCAATGTTTTGGTTCATTATAACTTGAACAGAAAGGTCAGAGTGCTCCTCTCCAGAGGTTATAGTAATTAGTGCTGAGAGAGATTAACCCAGCATGCCACTTGCCACCCCAGCCCACAGATCTCGGCCTGATTTCTGCTGTGGTCAAGACTGTTCTATGTTACCTCCCCCGAAGTAATAGTGTCCCCAGGATTGGGGCCCTGACACTAGAGACAGAAGGGTGAAATGAGAGACCTGACTGCCGCTGCTCTTTATAGCACTGTCACTGCTTGGGGCTTCGCAGCACCAGATTCAGAGCTGAGAATCCACTGTGATACTATGAAGCTGTCAGCACTACAAGCTAACAGTTATTGAGCTGGCACTGTCACATTGTATAATTTCTTCCTACCAGATTTTAAAAGATCTATGAATGTCTGCATGCATACTGTACATATATTTTGTCCAGAAACACTAATAGAAAAATGGAAGCCACACATATGAAATCACCCTTTTATTGTCAGGTCTCCTATAATGACTTATTAATTGAACCATTTAAATGCAATTAACATATATACAGCATATAAATACTAAATGTAATTATATAATTTTGTTCCCTCAATAATCTATAGTATATATAAGAGATACTTTATATAATACACATTTTGCAAATGGTAGAATTTAAGAAATGTATTCCATCTTTTATTCAGTTATTAGAAGATCCTTTTTTTGTTGATTTTTGTGTTGATTTTACTTAGCGTTAACAGATAAATTTACCATTAACAGGAATAACCTCCCTGTGTGCTGTACTGATGTTAAGGACCACAGTCTGCAGAATCATTTGTTATTCTGTAGTGACAAACCTTTAATCATCCATGTGTAAAAGTGGACTTTAAATAATTTATCTACTTAATGGACATATAGAGGCCACAGTGTATTTTATAAAACTCTTTACAGCGCTCTGTTGCTTTGATCTCTTTTTTCAGCTATACTTTTAAACCTTTTGAACTTTCTGAATTAATTTACTCGCAGCTGTATTTAAATGTTTGTTCAAGGTTTGAAGGAATCTGAGAACTAAAATGATATCTAGTTTAAGTAGGTTTGACAAGGAAAAAAGATTGTGCCAGCTGTTTTAAAATTCAGAAAGGCCTTTTAACTTTCCCTTGATAGCAGAATGGTCATATTACTCTTGATGAGTGGCACACTTTTTCCATTGAAATATTTATTTTAATGCATGAATAATTAATAATGGTACCATTTTGAAGCAGGTATTATGAATTTTTTGTGGTACTCTGGAGCATATCATTAAAATGTTTTTTATTTATTTATTTGTGACTAATCGTGTTTATTTAAATTCTGAAATACATCAGAAAGAAATCACGTGTGAACAACAGAGATTTTAATAAACAACAACAGCATAAGATAAGGCTACATTTTCCTCAGTCTGTCTGTGAAAGTTTCAGATAACGCAAAGTGCACATGGATGATAGAATTGGCATTGTCAATAGGTGTGGTAGGATGATGGTGCTGTTACCTTGAGAAAGGAGAATTACCTTGTCAAGTATTAAAGCTGAATAAAATTTGAGAGAATCCAGATTAAAGTTACACTGAGGCCAGCTTCTACTGTAATCAGATGTGAGAAGCTTGCCAGGCTATCCAGTGCTTACCCTGGGAATTTCCCTGTAGCATTCAGTGCTGCCAAAGGGGAAATACAGTATGTCTCTCAGCAAAGGCTTGTCTTCACTGCTTCACATTACAATCTTAAGCTGCATACTGTACATAGGGAATTTAAAACTTTTATTAAAAAAAAGTTAAAAGCAGATGATAACCAAACTCTCGGTTAGATTAGATATTGATTTAGGTAATTCTATTCGTTAAATTACTTTTGAAACTCAAGAGGAATTAAACCCATTTGCAGTAGAGCAAAAGGCTTTTTGAAAACACTTCTGACTGCTGATATGCTCAGGCTGTGTGCTTCAGGAGATGCTGTTGTTCATATTAGCTGTTGCAGCACTGTTGTCTCTGGGCTGTGAAAGTGGGCTGTGAAAGTCAAAGTTCTCCAGGCTTTCTGTGAACGAGAAAAGAGACTTTAAATCTACTGTCCTCAGTTATCCTCATGCAGCAGTAGAATAAAAGTCATTCAAAAAAATAATAATTTTAAAACTAAGTCCTTCCAAAACTCCCTGCGGAAGTCTTAACGACAACTCTCTCATCCCTTCCCTGGTGCGAATCACTGCATACTGAGTCATTTCCACAGCTTTGATATTATACTAAAATTAATCAACTAAAGGGTATTTTCAGCTATCCAGAATTCTGTAGGGAAAATTAAGGAAGATATATTAATGCTTTTATATACTATCAGATATAATTAATTGTACAGATAGTCTGCTTTTAACCTTACAGCAGGTACAGTATTCATGGTTGTGTAACTATTCTTAATTTTTTTTCCGTCAATGAAAAAAATGGATAACAGGTTCGCACATATGGTAGTTATTTTAAGTGGGGTTTTTTTCCATGCCATGTCTATATCCAGTCTCATTGATGCTAGGTACCGTAAACTTAAATTCTTAGGTTTGCTCAAGTGAAAATTAAGGAAAGACTGCTTTGACCTGGGGGTCATACAGTACATGAATGGCACCTTTAAGGTTAAATTTTATAATGCCACACCAGCTTCAGGACAGTAATTTGTTAACGTTTCTCTCAAATCTTATACTCCCATTTTAGTTTTACCCATGAAGTTGTCTGCCATACCCTGAAAAATGTTGTCACAATTATGTCAGTGTTATTCTATCAACCCAGATAATATGCATCCTTCTTATTTTTTATGCCCTTAAGGTGAAATATTCTTTGTACAGTACCTTTTGCTAGGTCTGTCACTATATTTTTCCTAGAGATTGCTAGTGACTGAATAGGCCTACAGGTAGCTGCTTGTAGACCTGCTTCTTAATGTAGTACAGAATTTTTTTCTCTATCCAATTTAACTTTAATTTTGTGCCCAGTCTAGATTTATTAGGTGCTTCTTTCCTGTAAGGTCACTCAAATTTCAGTGGACACACTTTAAAATACCTTAGAGGATTTAAGAACATTAAACCAACATTTCCTGCCACAGCCTACTTTGAAGCAGACAGCAGAGAGCTCAGCTAGAAATGCATTTTGTTTACATGTTTTCAGATTTTGTCAAACCAGTAATTAGACCCAACAGGTAACTGAGAGAAGTGTTTAAGATCATTTTAAGGTTCTAGGTAACGTTGGCCTACACAAGCAAACATTACTTCCCATCTGCAAGGTAATTTAAAGTATTTGGCAAAAAAAGGCTATTAAAAGGACACTGTCAGAACTATCCAGGAGTTCAGTGGTAAATATAATATCGTATTGTAATCATATTTTATATTTTATTATTATATTTTACATTATTATATTATTATTATAATATTATATTTTTCTCAGATAGGACTCTTCTGTTAAGGTGCATTGTGAAGTGTCTGTGTGCTTTAAAATAAACCGTCAGAACAGAGAATTCTTTTACACACCAAACCCAAGTGAACATTGTTGGGTAGACTAATAAAAATACATTTTTATAAGACTGGGATTTTTCAACATCCTATACTGGTAACAGAAAGTGATTAAAAATACTGCAGGTAATATTTTATTCTTGACATGTGAACAGAGTCTAGCTATGGCAGGAAATAATACATGGCTTGTTCTACAATTCAAACCTACTCCATCAAATCTCTTTAATTTTGGGATGTTCTCAGCCAACAGAGAAATGCGAGTTGTTCTCATCTAATAATTCAGTGGAAATTTCAGATTATTTTCTATTGATGTGAATTCTAAAATGTTACCAAATAATGATGTTCTTATTGCTCTGTTTGTCTTGCAGAACATGAAAAGCACCGTTTATGCAAGAGCACAGATTACATGAATTTGCACTTCAAAGTGAAGTGGTTTCATAACGAGTATGTTCGAGACCTGCCTGCTTTCAAGGATACCGTGCCCGAATATTCTCTGTAGGTATTCCTACTGATAAATCCTCATTGATCCATACATCCTTTGTTATAAAAGATGATACTGATAAACATTTAAAAAAATAAATATATGATTACTGTTGTACGACTTTACAGGTATGTTTAGATTTTATGAGGACATTACTGTACTTTGCAAAATTAAAATTCAGTACAAAATTAAATGAAAATGAGAAGAGTAGCAGAGCTTCAGTATACATTAGTAATTGATGTCTAAGAATCAGTATAATAGAATGCTAACCTCTTGTCCTGCATCCATGACAATTATACACTCTCCTGACTTCACAGGTTTGAGTTTCTTTCATTTTGCTGCTATTAATACAGGTTATGTGACTGTGTTGATAATAAAATGTTTTTGGCCATTTAGTGCTAACTTAACCAATGAGTCTCTGAAATCTTATCTTGTTCCTCTTACTTACACAACCACAAAAAGGTTAACACATAGTGGCCATTTTCATTAAAATTTTGGAACAGGCACCTGCAGCTCAATTACAGTCTTATCTAATGAGCCCTTTGAACCTCTTCAGCTGGGGCTTAGACAGAGACATACTGTAGTACTGAAATGGCCCTTACGAAGGTAGTTAATGATTTCCTGATGGCTTCTGGCTCTGAGTCACTTAATATCTTTCTCTGACTCAAGGGCAACTTTTGATGTAGTCAGTCACAGCATCCTAGAAAATTTTCTAGGGATCACCAATCCATAATTCTCAGCTATCTGAGCTCTGATTTTGTCCTAGTTGTTTCAGGTGTTCCACAGGGTTCTGTGCTGTAACCTGTATTGTGTAGTAAAGTAATCTAATCAGATTCTTCACCATCAGAGGCTTTGGTTTCACTGCTGTACTGACCTATAGCACGCAGATTAACTGAGCTGTTAAACTCAGATTTACTTGCAAATCTAATTACATACTAAAGTATAGCTGTGTTTTTTTTACTTTACAAGTGTCTTATATGATATTGAAATATTTAATACAACAGAGATTTATTTGGCCTAATTTTGGAAAAGCCAAGTGCCTTGAAGTGACTTTTTACCCCATGTTTTGGGTATAAGGAACATCACAAAGTTACTTTATTTAATCAAATAGTATCATGTTTGAGGAACTCACTGCCCAAAGCCATTAAATACCCTGGTACTGCTGACATAGAAATTGGAGTTTCTTGAAAACTCTGCATAAAGGAAACTATTATCATATTGTCTTAATAAAATCATAAAAACTACAGTATGTGGAAGCCTTTTGTGAGGCAGGGGTATGATAATAACTGTATAGAAATCACTCTGGTTCTACCTGAGCGTGCAAAATTATGCATTTAACTTCACTGTTCATGTTTGGATATGAGTTCCAAGTCCCACCTGTGGATCCCAAATTTCTGAAAAGCACACTAGGGAAAAGTCAAAAGCCTGTGCTAAAATTGCTTCTGATGACCCCAGAGATCACCTTCAGCAGCAGAGCATGCTGTGCTATACAGTACATGCCCCTTAGCACTCGTTCCTCTCAAACCACACAGCTGCTTCAGCAACAACACTGCAGCAGAGCCATTCATCTGAATTGCAGGGTCATGGCAGAGTTCCAGACACAAAATAGCACATCTACTGCCATGACAAACTGTCAATCAGTCAATACCTCATGTTTTATTAATATTAATGGTGGGCTCCTTAGAGAACAAACCACAAGTGCTAGAATTGCTTCACCAGTACAAGAGAGCTACAGTATACTAGACATCTCCAAATCTGTTTCATCTCCATCTGCTCACATCAAGCCCAGCATTAACCATTTGGCCATGTTTTTCATCAGGTGTCTTTGAAATGTACATATATTTTATATATTTATAAAGTATAATCAATATAATATATAATAATGTATAAATTAAATTAGTGTATAATATAAATTTAGTGTGTATTATAGCCAGTATAATATGCAAATATATTTTCTAAACATGTGTTACCTATCAAAGAACACATTAGTATTACTAAAATGCAATAATTCTGGCACTGTTAACTGAGACATACTGTAGCTTAGGAAAGCTTGTTTTTAAATCTGAAGGCTCCTGCTATTGTCACCCTTAAGTTCAGATTGATATTCAGTAGTATCATACGGACATTGTGCCCTTTCAGGTCAGTTTTAAAAGATCTGAAAATATGTGTGTTTGTAATCATGATCTGATTGCATATGAACATTTTCTGCATGTTTATACAAGAAATATTGTTTTTTATACATTCCTAAAATCTGTTTACACCTTATATGCATACCATCTTAATGGCATTCACAGTGCACCTCATAAAGCATACAGGTGTCATAAGACCTTAAGAGCCTCATTGTTTTCTTGCTTTATCCTTTTTATGATAATTTATACACTCCTCATCTGATCATAAAATAGAGCAACTTAGATATTTATTGTGCACTCTGTTGTTGCCCTGAGAATTCACTGAGCAAGTAATAGCATAAAAAGTAATGAAAATGCATTCAATCACCAAATCAGTACTCTCTGAGCTTCACACAGACAAGTCCTTCAATACAGGGCTTAATTAACAACAGCTCCTCTGTAGGAAAAGTTGTCCTAGTAAAGTTTTCCAAAATTAATTTCCTTGCAATTAATTGATTCACTTTAATGTTACAGCAGTGAATTTTAGTTCACCAGATGAGGCTTCACTGTATGACATCATACTGTACACCTTGCACTACCATGCTTACGCAAGTTTCAAAATTCAGAACAATTTTCTCTTCTACAAAAGACATTAAATGAATACTTCTATTCATGCAAGAGTAATCATTGAAGAATGCATTAAACTGTATCATACTTTTTAAACTGTATTAAACTGTATACTTTTTTTAAGGCCATAGGCTTGTTACCATCCTGTACAACATTTATATTAGCAAGAAAACTACTTCTTCAGTAGCTGATTAATATCCAACAATTTCATTTAATGTTATACAGATGGTTTGAGCCCTTCGTCATTCAGTGGTTAGATGAAAATGAAGATGTGTCAATGGAATTTCTCCATGGAGCGTTAGAAAGGGATAAAAAGGATGGTGTAAGTATGAACAGTCTCAATTATAATCATATAAAGCATTTTATGTGCTTTTAATAAGCCTTATTTAAAAGTCACATCTCAGAAAATATTGGGATCTTCTGCAGAGAATTGTGCCAAAAATAGTGTATTTATTAAAAGTAGCAGGATGTGAAAAGTGTATATGTGAGTTGTGGCAGCAGTTACATATTTCTGGGACAATGATGATAATTTAGCACTTCCTCAGAAAGTAAGAAGACATATCATGAATATTTATTCAGATTGATTGCATACAATATGATTTGATAGTATCTCCCATCTATACAAAATACAGTAAATTTAAGTTATTATACACCAATAGCATTTTTGGATAACATTTCTTTGACATAAGACATAAATTGCTATTGCATAGAGCTTCATACTATAGTCTCACATTTAAATTATACCAAATACCAGGATTTCTCTGTTACAGCGTCATTTGCATTAGGGCAATGCATTATTATTTTGTGTCTGATATTCTGTCCCATTTTGTCCTTTATTTCTGAGTATTGTTTGTTGCTTATTTTAATGTTTTTAGAAGAATTAAATAAGGAGAAACCAGCAAAACAGTAAAACGGGGTGTAATTTGTAATAGTCTCTTGCCTAGTTTCCTGGAGTCTTGTCAGAGACTTTTTCTCTGACGGTACACAAACAACTTGTTATTTATTTCTTCCTCAGTTCCAGCAAACATCAGAACATGCTCTTTTCTCCTGCTCTGTGGTGGATGTGTTCACACAGCTCAACCAGAGCTTTGAGATCATCAAAAAACTGGAATGCCCTAATCCTCAAGCCTTGGCCCATTTCATGCGTCGCTTTGCTAAGGTAAGAAAAATGACTTTGGTTTATTTACCTGTGGCAAATAAATAGAGTATGTACTGGAATGTTGATATTGCTTAAATAATAAGGAGAATTTTTGGACTTACGTTCATAAGGTCACATAGATACGGTGTACATTAAAATGCTCTAAGCCATTTTATATATCAGATTTCCAGAAATGAACCTGCTATCTCCATTGTTGGGGAAACTGGGGTATTTGTGCTGATTTTCATCTGGTATAAAACAAAAGGAGGTTTTCATTTTTAAGTAAAAATACTCTTGACCATTTGAGGACACTGCAATAAAAAATGACTGATGGTGCCTGTAATTTTTATTGTTTTGTTTCCAAAAGTTATTCAAGTCAGTTTTATCTGTCATCTCTGTTTCTTTGTCCCTCGCTTATTTCTTTGACGTTGGCAGACAGTAAATGAATGCGCTCCAGCAAGCCAACCAGCTGTAACTGTGGCCTGACACCTTCAGACTGTCAGTGTGCATCCTAACTTTAGTGCATTTTGTGGTACATTTGTGTAATAGGCTTATAGAGAGGCCATAATGTGGCCATGCAAGCCTTTGCCTCACGATCATCATAATATAACAAAACGTATAACTTCCTACCACGGCCAGGAAAAGTAACTAATCAAAATAGCTTTGTTCTCTTCTTTTAATATGGAATTGGGTAAGATATTGTACACTGTAGAATACAAACCTGAACTCAGGCTGTCAGTGATTTTTCACTTGGTATATACTACTGCACATAGGAATTGAAATATAGTTTGTGTACTGTATTTAACAAATAGTAGATATTTGATTTTAGGAAGTCTTAATTCTGAATTTGAAATATATTCATCATAATAATAATAATAATAATATGTCTGACCAGAATATTTTAGTGAAATGCTAACAAATGCCACTTACTTTTCGTTAGAGATTAAGATTTAGAACAGATGGCTTTAAGAGTCCACCATTTATTGAACCAATGATTGTGTTCACGTACTGTACAGTATATGTTTACCTTTACAAGAAACTGCATACAAAGTACTGTTCAGTAACGGAATGTAATGTCAATATGAAGTGCCGCATCACCAAATGATCTTTTGAAAATTCAGAAGTTATTTTTTAATTTGAAATTAATTTGAAAAATCCTTCAAATCTTTGTTTTTTCCCCCAACAGACCATCAACAAAGTGCTTCTGCAATATGCTGCAATTATATCTAAGGATTTTGCCTCTTATGTGTCGAAGGAGAAACTGGTAAGCACCAGAACATATGATTTTTAGTTGACTGTATGTTGACTCTGTAGGAAAACTGTGTATTTTGATAGTTTTTTCCTAATTTGTTGCAACATGAGGATTAAAAGGTGTAAGAAAGAAAAAGCAGAATTTATATACAGTATATCTAATTTATATCCTTAAATATATTCTGTATCCTTAAATAATAGCATAATTAAAAAAAAAATTAATTTTTTTTTCAAATTTCTGTGATGTACATACTGTACACTCATATTTTTATTCACTTGTGATAATTTTGTCTAGGCTATAAAAAAGAGGTTTACACTATATTCATAATCAATTAAATGTTATATATCGTAGTCCAGGGATATAACTTGAATTGATTGAAAATTGTCATGCAAATCCATGGTATGCCATTAGAGTTTAGTAATAAGCTTACATGTTGGCTTGTAGTACTTTAAGTCACAGCTTAATCATTTTATTTCCAAATTAATTTTGATTGATAATTTTATTGTGAAATATCATTTGAAAGAAGTTTGGAATATAATAAGTATGTTTTATATAACATACAATTTTAGGAACTTTAGCAGTATTGTGAGCAGCAGTGAAGATTCTGATTAATTAAGAAGTGCTTTGTAGGCCATTTCCAGAATTAGAGGATTTGAACATGAATCACAATCCAAAGGCTGTAATGAGCTCAATCATCCTGAGCAAAAAAACAAAGGAAAAAGCGAGTATAAACTGCGACAGGGAAAAAACATATTTCTGTAATAAATCTGATTTTTACAGTGACCACTGACAATTCACAGATGTAAAACCATTTTCTGATTGTGAAAAGTGGGCATCTGGGCAACATAGGAAAGCAATATTCTTGTTTGAGCAAATACCTTTAATACTCTCAGAATGAGAACATTGGGTGGAGGAGGATTGTGACTGACCAGTAATTAAGTCTCAGAAGATGGGCACTATCCAAATGCTACAGCAAAAATCTAATAGCAGGACACTTAATCTGTACCGCAGTGACTCAGAGCGCTTGCTAGCTTAAGCACTATTGCATCCCTAAATTGGCAGCTCTCCCTCACCCAAGAAAACCTAAGCTGGAGATTTTCTGTGGCAGTACATTTCAGAAGTGTGACAGGGTTCCTTCTTGTCATGTACACTGCAGTACATAATGACAGATGAAACCTTGCTTCTGCAAAGTTATGTGTCATCACTGGACAGCCAGGCCTGCCTCCTTACAACTCACCTTTTTAAGACTTGACATCCTCATTGCTGAAGTCCCTTTATTTGAAGTTTCAATTAAAACCCTATGTGCTGATGAGTCTTTATATTTTGCAGCACAAAATACACAGGACAGTTGCCTCAAGTGAATCTCCTGTTCTGTTTTTGCACTAGATGTCTTCCCTTGGAAAAGTATCATTTCTTTAGAAGAGATATATATGATGATTTCAAATGGCATTCAGCCCTTCAGGGATTGTTTATTAAAAGTAAAGTGATGTATAGCATAGACAGCAGTTTTCCAGCGGTCATGACAGTTGCCAAAAGAAAACTGGCAGCATACAGCAAATGTGCTGTCAATTAAAGAATTACTATTTGTCCTCAGACATTGAGTTCTGTATAAATATATTGTGCCTAATCTTAAGATCAATATGAATTTACAGTTGTTTCCTTCAGTTTTTTATGTAATCATTATGTCTTCCTGCAATTTGAGTCAAGCACTTGTGATCTTAGATTTCAAAACATAATCTTTTTGTCCTCCATGTGACAGCAATGGTTCCAGATTAACTGTCTAGTTATTGATATCCTTATAAAAGAAAGATCCAAATCACTTCAGACAGCTGGTAATTTATTAATTTCTATATTGCAGATTTATAAGTTTTATGCTGGGCCTGAGTTATACACATGACTTTCTGACCATGTCTCATTGTTTTCTTACTGTAACAATTAAATGCTTTCCTTATTTTCCTCTAAGCCCTGCATCCTCATGAACAACATTCAACAGCTACGTGTCCAGCTGGAAAAGATGTTTGAGTCAATGGGTGGCAAACAGGTCTGTTGCTTGACATTATAATACAATAACTGATTTTTGCTCAGCCTTTTAAACAGTTTTTAACACTTTGAAAATAGGTTTTTGTCATTCTTATTCCTGAAATTTGCTTTATGATGTTCTAACAAGTCTACTGTAATGTCGACAGCATCATTTTTAGTTTCATGTGACCCATAATATCTTTGTCTTTGTTTTTGTGTTTCATTCTGCTGGGCGTCAGGAGGAAGGGACAGTGTCCTTTTGTAAGGTCTGTTCAAAGGGCTCCCAATGTTGCTATAGTAAAGGAAATGAATGAGACTGATTGCACACGCCCATAGCATGAAGCCTTTTAGGTTAAGGATGCAAGGAGCAAAGAAGAACACAAAGCAAGCACATTCATGTCATTTTTTTATTTTTTTGTATTAATTCTGAAATTACCAAAAAATAAAAAATACAGAACAGCATACCGAAAAACAGGGTAAGGGGAGTTAGTCAAATACATTCTGAAGAAAAATCATAAGTATTTGCATTGTTACAATTGATTGTAGCAAAGTGAAATTTAATATCACATTTCAACATCTAGCTCTGGTTTCTCTTACTTTTGTACCCAGGTTGTATATTTAACAGTTAATGGTCATTGTCTCATTTACCTTTGGTTAACAGTACCATCTACCTTTTGAAACTGCTGGGAGCTGTTTCTCTTTTGATATAAATGTCAAAGAATTGAGTTGTTTTCTCAACACATACTGTAATCCCATCACCTAGAACAGCTTTTTCGATGATTTACAAAGCTGACCTGGTAACCCTTTTATACAGCAGGGCATTTATTGGAGAAATCTAAGTAGCTCACATAAAGAGACATGCTTTCCACCCAGGATTTGAACCCACAAACCTCTGATCCTGTGTGGGCCGGGGTAGTCTAGATCTGCACTGAGATTACTGAGCACATAAAGAAGAAAAACAGTTCATCTGATCAAAACTTTTCCTGTAGAGCTGGAGTCCTTAAGTTAAAGGATAAACTAAAGTTAAAGGATAAGTTAAACTGATGATGTCTTCACTTTTTGCCGCCTCTCAAGTATTGCAGGTCAGCACTTCATTCACCGAGTCTTAGAAGAGATTAGGATCTGTGATGTTCGTTGTAGTACACAAGATGGGTACGGTGAAAACAGTTAGGATAATTTAACATTTTTAAGTCTGTGGGGGGATCAATGCCACAGACTGCACAAATAACAACACATTTGTTTATCAGGGTTGACGGGGTGTTCTGTTTGCCGTGCCTTCATAACATTTTCCAGTGTTAATGCACAACTGGCAGTTCATCCTGTTTTGTAAATCAGTGAATTCAAATATTGTCATAGCCTACATGGTATACTTCATAAAATTGAAAGGAAAAAAGTGGTTTGGGTTGTCAGGTTTCATATTTATTGTATCTCCCTTTTCTCTTTACAACAGTGCATTTGGTGGTGTGTAAACGTGAGTGTCGGAAATGCTTGGCATGGTAGTGTTGTGGCTCTCAGTAGATTTTAGTCTGTTATAATGGAATATATTCTCAGGGTCCATAAAACACCAAGAACAATTGCTCTAAGGTCCTGAGTCATGAAATCTCCCTTTTCTTATTTCACTGTTTATGATGTCTCAGGTGTGATGGTGGCACAATGATAGATGATCTATTAAAACTTTGGAATCTGAGCAGATTCTGCAATACTAAATTGTCAAGTATTCTTTTGAAAAAAAAGGTAAATGTTTTGTGATCTGTATTTTTTCAAGTTATAAAAGGGTTTTATCCAAGCTTTGGAAAGGCTGGATAATCTTCAAGACCGAGAGAAAAGATAGAGAAGAAAGGTCATAACATTTGCTTCTTTCGCTCTTAATTCCAAGCAGAACACCCTGCATTTGACTATATACTGTATTTGCATTTATCTTAATCTTATTTAATCCAAATTAGTTTGTGGTAACCCTTTTGAAAAAGATGGAACTTTTGTCATCGATAAAACAATTTATCTTCTTCATTGAGCGCTAGTTTTCTTCCAGACATCTTACTTCTTGACTCTTAAAAATATTGTCTGAGTGTGCCTTGGCTTCTCAGACACCCCTCAAAGGGTTTTCAATTTTTCCTTCACAAAGGCCAAATACAATACTGTATGTTGAAGCATTGACAGTAAGTCCCCACATTCAGACCAAATCTCAGTCTTCCTCAGTCTGAGACAAGACCTTTTCTTTTATAGAGTGGACCCTATGAGATTATCCAACTCATTATGCAGTATGCAGTAATGTCTACCTGGTCACTCAGCTCAGACATACTGTATTGGCATGATAGATTGAGACATCTTGGATGTTTCTTCTTTAACTGTGAGTACAGCGGAATAATATTTAGGAAAAAAAACAATGTTCCTTTCTTAAGGAAATAAGATTTGTATGTTTTAGTATACAGTACATAATGAAAAAACAATTTAATTTTCTTTCCACGTTTGCGAAACAGACCCATGATCATTTTAAACAGGTTCAGCGGTATGAAAGTGAACAAGTGAGATTATGGCCAGCAGATCCTAGTGTACTGGAAAAAAATGTGGATAGCACATCAAAATTGTCGACATCTCCTTTCCAATTCAAATAATTACATTTAGAACCTCAAATAATTTCAAGTATACCATTAGAAAATTCATGTATTGGATTTCTAAAGCAAATTGTGAAGATTTGCCAAGAGCCTGACTTATCTTGGACTGTGTTTATGCTGTAGCTGTCGAAGAAGTACTCGCTGAATATTTCAGAATTAAGTGTGTGATATGCATGAGGTGATCCATCCTTCATGTTTATGTCCTGCATTATCCACAGACCAGCATGTCATGTACACAAGATTTCTTTTTAATTTGTGTGTCAAATATTACCCTCTGCTGTTGGGATTTCTTTATTTAACGTAATGAAACATATCTGTCACACTTACATGGGAGTGGGTGACATACAGATTGCTCCCAATATCTATTTTAGTGCACTGTAATGAGAACTTTAATGGTACAAAACTGCTTATTTCATTTCAAGCTTCACTCCTCCAGCCACAGCAATTGTGTAGACTATTTAAGATGGCATTTCTGATGCCATTTCTGATGGAACAAAATGTCACCCTGAGCTGGTGGTGTTTTTTCCAAGCATGTTCAGATTCCTTCAATGCTTTTCTGCTCCTTTTCATTTCTTTTTATGGGCGACAGAGAGTGTTCCTGGATGCATCTTTGAAATGAATTAGAATTATAATTACTGTGTCAATTGTGTATGATAAAGTACCTGTTAAAAGACAGTAAAAGCCTATTAACTTTGATGTGCATTAGTGTTAGGGTTAGAATTTGGATTAGTCTGCTACTTAATATCTTACAAATCTATTTGGCATTGGCATTTAGTGTACATTACAAGAGTAAAATAATTGGTGTTTCTGTGAACACTAATAAACAAGACACTGGTTCTGAGGTGGTAGACTACGAAAGGTACAGTATGTTCATATCCCCAGTACATGTGTGACTCCAATATGTAGAACTTTAATTGGTAAAGCTCAGCTTTGAAACGCTACATTTAATTAATGGCTTCTGATTCAAATGTGGAGTAGTGTTTAACTGCTATTAAACTTTATTTCTCACCCCTGTGGTTCCTGGTTTTTGTGTCAGCGGATTTGTTGTATAATTAACCTTATTAAACCTTTATTCATTCAGATCATTTAAACTGGTGTACTGTATATACAGTACTGTACATCAATTATTAATAGCCAAAATCTGTAAGAGAGCAATACTTTTAAACCGTATTGTTCTACATTAAGATACATTTATTGGAAATAATACATGTACTGTATTAGAAACCAAGAAGAAGACAGTGAAAAAGCAAACAGTTTTAAATAAAAGGTTAATTAAAACTGATTAACCAAGAGCTCCATTGGAATAAAAACCAGAAGCCATAAGTGTACTCCAAGACTAGAACTGTGAAGAACTGTTATAACACTTTTCTAAATGTTCTGGGTGAGGAAATAAGCTTTCATTCCTGAATCATTGGCTACAAAGTCCATGTGTAGATGCTAAAAGTAAATGTTGTTATTTGAGATTTTTTGTTAAATGGTGTTGTACACAGACTCAAACTGCTACACGCTGTGGCTTGGTTTCCATATCACTTCTGTTTTCTTAATATCCTTTGTCTCCTACATATGGGGTTTTAGTATGTATTTGATTCTTATTTTACTCTTTGACATGTTTATTTTTCTCCATTAATCCAGAATTTGTCTAAGAGTACTGTAATATTATTTTTGCTTATTTCAAATTCCACTCAGCAGCGGTAGATTTCAAAGCTCTTTTTAAATTCCCTGCTGCTTTTCAAAGCGGTATGTCTTTTCTAAACTAGAATAACTTCTAAGAAGAATAAGCAAAGGTTACTGTAAGTGCCCTGTTACATAATGTTTCAAGCCCACATTCAGGCAGACAGGAGAATGAGTGAGGACAGCACTTTCCATTCAAAGCAATATTGATTTGCAGGAAAAACAGAATGTCATAGGTTGGAGTGTTACCACAATTTACCCAGTCTCAAGAGAAGAAACCTTGTTAATCCATTAACATTATTTAAGAAAATATGAGTAAATGGCATCTTTAGTTCACCCTGCCACTCCTGAAATTATTGACAGGCGCCTATCAGCAGGAACCGTACGTGCTCAGGAAGTGTCTCATTAAAAACAGATTTTCAACAAGGTCAAACACTGCATCTCATTGGTTAGCGAGTTATACAAATAAGTGGTTAAGATTTTTTAGTTTGCTCACTACTGTTGAAAACGTCTTTTGTGTTTAAATGCTTAGCTGAAAGAACTATGCATATGACATATGTTTGACTATTTTCAGTAGTACCAAGAACTGTTTGTTAACTCTATGGTCCCTTGAACTTTTGCATTAAAAGCCGATGAAATAATTGAAGTACAAGTACAAAATCAATAGGAAGGAAATGTAAGTTTTGATTCATTTTTTAAGTCTATCATTAATGTGAAATACTTTATGTGAGATCTGTGTTAGTTTGCTTGTCATACTGTATAACTCTTTTTTGCAGCATTTTGTTGTTCTAATGATCCATGAACAAATAAATGGTTCCTCAGTACAAATTAAAATATGAAGGCAGTCCTTCTATGCACTTAGCAATGTGCAATTTATTCCAAGTCCTAAGGAACACCTTCAATAAAAACACAAACGAGTCTGACACACTTCATTTATTCCTCCTAATACACCTTCACTTCTGTATTTCCTTCTTTGTGCCCTGCAGGAATTTAGAAATGAATCTAATCAATGAGAGAGTAATGTACAGTAGTGAAGCCCTACCTGTCCTAACTGATAGAGAAGCCATCAACAAGTATACTGTATATAGGTTTATTCAACTTTGTGTATCTCTTCAAGTACAGTACTATTGCAGCAAGTTTGGAAAAGAAGATATACAGTAACATCACTGCAGATACTGTTGTTTCTAAATTGTAGGGGCTGGATATTCCTAAATAACATTAAGCAAGAGTGACACAGTTCGACCAGAATTAAATAAAGCATTGGCTGTTTTTATTTGTGCTGTGGAATGAAATGTACTATACAGAGTGTCTGACATAAAAGTTTTGCTTGAGGCCCATAAGTAACATGAATATCCAGAGCAGCATTACGCTTTTATTAGTTTTATAGTCAAGCATTGAAGAGCTTTAGAAAAAGTATGAGGTTTATTCTCTATGGCTTTAATATTTTTTTCTTTTGCAGCTGGATCCTGAAGCCAGTGATCTCCTGAAAGAATTACAGATAAAACTCAATGGCGTTTTGGATGAGTTAAGCTCAGTTTTTGGTGCAAGGTAAACGAAATTTTATTTAATCTGTGTGACATGACCATCTGTTCAAACAACATGTCAGTGTTTAGAAACAGTAAGTGGCTTAAGGTCTTGGCATTGAATGATGTATTATCGAATCCAGTTTTTGTAGTTAGTACTCTCTGGAATGAATGAAAAAGTCCAGGGACAGATATATTTAATTACTTCTAAAACATTTACTTTTCAAACCAAAAAAACAGCTGTTGTTACCTTTCGAGGGAATTTCAAGAGCAGAGAAAAAACACAGAGGTATAGCTTTCTCCCTGAGAATGATGAAAATCAGCAAACATGCTTGCTAGAACTGGTATCTTTCCCAAAATGTGGTTGCTTTGCTTGTTTCCTCTAGTTTCCAGGCTGTTATTGAAGATTGTGTCAAACAGATGAACCAAGAACTGAGTCAGATGCGAGGAAATGGCCCTGGAAACAAAAGCAATGCAGCCATGGATGCAGAAACTGTGCTAAGGCCACTCATGGATCTGTTGGATAAAAAGTAAGGTTTTGCCCAGAATGCACGACTTCAGTGCTTGAAGCCTAGGAGACAAACCTACAAAGACAGGACATGGAAATGATTTAACTGCAGCACTTTTGTGATGCAATGTTTATAATATTGAGTACCAGTGTTTGGAAACAAGGAGCAAACAATTATTTTTTATCTATAGTAGACCTGTGAATTGCATAGCTGTGAGACAGCCAAGCAGTTCTCCCAGTTAATACACTAATTTCAGTTCTTTGGATCACTTGGATGAGTATTTCTGGTGTCATTGTGGGCTGTCATAACTGCCCTCTTAATAAGGATTCCCCAAATGGCTGCCCACACCTGGAACTTACAGGGAACCTCCACAGTTGATAGGATTTGAGCTGTAGAGGGTTTCCTCAGTTTACTGTATTATACAATCCTGCTCACTGTGCACCTGAGAACATGCAGTGAAATATATTGAGTTTCACATTTTTTTAAATGATCATAGCTTAACATGTAAAAGGATTTTAGATTCCCTTAATTCCTAGCAGGGTATATCACGTAATGGTTCTGTATGCTAGAAAAAAAGCTTGCAACTTTTTGCACTTCTCTACATATGAATGATTCAGAGACCTTTATAAAAGCAGCATTCAGGGCAATGGGGTATTACTGAGAATCCTCTTTAATCATATGCAAATACTAAATCCTTTCAGGCCTAAAGATTTTTTCCTAAGCCCGTGAATATATAATTCACCAAGATTAAAGTGTAAAACTGTAGGTTTGTTTTCTTATTTATTTATGAACATTGAGGGACTTTGACATGGATAGACACATTTGTAGGAATTTACATTTTCAAACAATAGAGCCTTAGTTTATCCCTGTAAAAAATAAAAATGGCCATTAAGAGAAATAATTTATGAACTTCACAAAGATAAACCAGGATTTAGTAGCAGCACACAGCTCAATATTTAAAAGCATATCTTAAAAATGTAGAAACTGTTTGATGTTTAAATAACATTGTTTTCTTTGTGGCAATTATTATTTGTGTATTGTAGCCTCACCTTGTTTGCAAAAATCTGTGAGAAGACAGTACTGAAAAGAGTTTTGAAGGAGTTGTGGAAAATAGTTTTGAACACAATAGAAAGACAGATTGTCTTGCCTCCATTAGCAGACCAAAGTGTAAGTACCAGTGACATAATTAATATACTGTGTGATCTGTGTAATGACGACTCCCTCTTTCTCTCCCTCCGTAGCTGTTTGGAACATACTGTAAAGAAGCTTAAGCTGCACTGTATTGCATCTGCATATCTTCTATCAGGGAATCTGTCCATTAATCCTTTTGTGAACCCATCTTTTCATCCACTACATGTACATATATAATATTTATATACCAGTAGATTAAAACCGTAATACTCCCTCATCTGCGCTTGGACAGCTGCCCAAAATGGAAAACTTCATTGACCTTCCATTTGGACTGTGTTCAAATTCTTTTCTATTCAAGCTGAGTAATGTGGCAGCTCTGCAAAGCCATTCCTCAGATATGTCACGCATGGCTGGACTTGCAGGTTTTGTTTTAGTTTAGTTATCAGTGTTGCTAAATAATATATTGTAATCATTCCCTGGTATAACCTTAAAGTAAATTAAAATACATATTCTCTTGCAAATGTCATGCAAATGTAGATTGTTATATATTCCACCCTCTTATAAACTTTTTTTTACTGCATTGCAACCTGGTGTTATGCAGTGCATTTAGTATGACATGCATTTTAAACATTATAGTTAGTCATAATGTAATATTTAATAACATATACAATTATTCTGTTAATAGTTTATGATCTGAGGCACTCTTTAAAGTTAAGTTAAAGAGAGGGATAAAAAATTAGTTCATTCAAATTACAAAGTATTGTCTGTAATCCAGTTGTTTTTTCCTTATAAAGCAAGGAGCTCAGATGATTTTCAATGCTGCAAAAGATTTGGGACAGCTATCAAAACTCAAGGTATGGCTAATTCATTACTGACATCTATTCTTTTAAAACTTGTCCATTGCAACTGGATGAATCATGCTTCTTAGTAAAAACATTATCTATCCTTGGAATTTATAAATATTACCCTTTCAGTATTTAGCTCTCTTATCTAATGAGCCTATGAAATATAACAGTTCTGGGAACTGTCCCAGTAGACAATTAGAAAGCTTTTTCTTTTATATTTCTGTGCAAACAGAAGCTGCATCCTGCAGAGTACGGTTTTTACTGGGTTTTATGAAATATGACCGATGATATGACAGCAGAACAACCCTGAAAGAAAGAGCAAAGTGTCTCTAATAAAAATGAAAAAATTAGATGATGAAAGAGAAATGGATGACGGAATATATACAGTACTGTATATATGACTCAACTGTTTATCAAGAAAGAAAAATTATATTTTAAATAACATTATCATACTATACAGTAGATATAGATACTAGAAGAACGAGATAAAAAAAGACCTCTAGGACCTGATGGTATTCCACATACCAATGGCATGTGGATGCAAACTGAGCATATGATACTGTAAATTTAACATTTTCAGGTTATGTTAACAATATAGACTATGGTATGGAAAGTAAAATGGGAATATTAGAAAACTGCAGACAGAATGTTACTTGCAGATATCAGAAATATGAAACAAATAACTCGAGTCATAGCACCTGTCCTCTCACATTACTCCTTTAAATAGTTTAGTTATTCACCATACAGTATGGGAAATTAAAAAGGACATGGTGTACCACCCCATTTGTGTTTGATACTATTAGGTGCTTTTATTAATAAAGTCTTGTGAAACTTGTGAAATGAAAGGCTTTTTAAAACTCCCAAAACAGGCATAAAATGAATTGGAAACTAATGTTGTTGCTCAAGGATTTCTTTCTTTTTTTTCTAATTGGGAGTATTAATCTGTTGTTCTTAACTTACTTAACGTACATTCCTTTTAGTTTTATTGCTACAGTATTTCTAACACCATGTACTTTATTGAATCAACTCAGAATAATTGTTTTTTTTCCAACATATTTTCACTATAACGGGTATTTTGGTGAATTTGACATTTGAGATTTCAAAACCCTCCCCAGGACAGCTTGCAGATATTCTTCTGTTTGCTGTCTCAGTACAATTTGAGGCAATTCACACATACCCTGTACATTTACAATGTACGATATACTGTAAATAATAATAGATCAATTTCACTTTCAGCACTTGGACATGTTACAAATATTATGATTGTGTATTCCTGTTTAAAGAATCAACATTAAAATCTTTTTCATTTCCTAAGTACTGTTTTAAAATAGGAGCACACTTTCCTGAATTTTAGTGTACTATCCCCAATTGTTTGTTTAAATCCAAGAACCAAGTAATATCAATAGTCAGGCACAGCAGCCAGGAGATTTATTTTTATCTATGAAATGAACTTTTTTTAACCTGAACCTGAACTTGAAATGAGCATTTTTAAATGATTGTATCCATTACTAATAATTCAAGAGGCTTCTAACTACTTGTGCAATGTTTAGTACTTTAGGAACTGTAGTGCAAGTACAACCAAAATGTACTTTTGATTAGCAAATACCTAATGTTACCAAATCAAAATGAAAGATTTGAATTTCTTGTTAGATTACCTAAATTGTGACCTAATTTGTTTTTATTTTAGACTTCACACATTTATTTTGTGTTTCCCTTGTTTAGTAATAGAGGAAGTGATCTTACAATTAATATAAATCTTTTACAAGTAAAGCCTTGAGTCAGGCTTGTTAAGGCTTTTGGCACATTTGTACTGAATCTCAGAGATGGGACATTTCGACCCTTTTGTCCAAGTCACGTCGGTCAAAAATAATGTCTGTTGCTTATGCAGTATCATTATGAGTCAGCACTTCTCTGCCTTTCATGAAATTCACTTAACTCTAGCTGAGCCCAGATCAATTCACAGTTAAGCAGGAGGTAACACTCTGCAGATTCCTTACAGCAATGTGTTAAACCGTAGTAGATTTTTATTATCTGGAGCCCTTGGAGAAGAGCACTCAGTATGTCATTTTTTAATGCTTGATTGAGAATTTGATATTTGAAACCTTCACTACATCTCACTCACTGCTTTAACCAGCTTCAGTTCAGTTCAAGTCTTTGATGCAGCTAAAAGCTTTAATAATTAGATGAAATAAGAGATACAGAGATGGAATCAGTTTTCATGTCTTTATCACTCTATTGATTGGAGGTGAATAAACAGTAGTTGCCTATATTAGTGCTGTTGTTGTGGATTAAAGTTTTACTGCTTTTCTTACAAAGCAAAACATTTATCCTTTTTTATATGACTTTTGTAATTCTACTGTGAACAAATATCTGAAAAATAATGAGTGTCAATTAGTCTGTTAGTTATTAGATGTATTTGTTATTCATTTTTATTTTGAATTTTTTTTAGTTTATTTTTTTATTTATTATACAGTACATTGCATAAGTAATGACTTGTTTAGTGAGAGTGTTTACTGGACACAGGAGATGAGGCAGCTGAACCTGTTGAATGTCAGACCTGCTGAAAGTCACCTACAAAAAATAAAAATACAAAAAGCAACCAACATCTCCCACTCATCGAGAGGAAAATGCCATTGTGTCACCAACACAGGTGGACACTTGTGTAGACAGATTTCAGCAATTATGGCACAGACATACTGTACCTCTAGTTGACAGGTGTGACAGACCAAGTGTGATGTTCTGGCTCCAGCTGCTCCTCATCCTGTTCATGTAACAAGTGCATTCATGAGAATGTGAGTCTGTGCCGGGAACAGCAGGACATCTAGGCCTCAGACACCAGTGAACAGATAGGGGCTTGTGCAGGCTCAATGAGAGCACATCTTACGTCCCAGTGTGTGGTCTACAGTATGTGTGTTTTTTTCCACATTTCTGACTTTGACTGTTCTCACTCCCCCATTGGTACTGTACATCATTACACCACTGTTTCCGTATGACATCATCTTCAATTAGCTTCTCGACCAATCACAACTCATCTTATTCAGTATAAAACTTGGAGGTTTTCAGAAGGAAGAGGCCTTTCATTTGACTTTGGTCCCGCTTGGCTTTGGTTTTCGCGTTTCGTTTCGTTTTTGCTTTGGCTTTGTTGGTTTGCTGTTTTGCTTTGTGTGTGTGTGTTTTTGTATAGCTTCGGCTTGGTTGTTTTGTTGGTTTCTGTTCGTCTCTTTGTACTTTCATTTGTTTGTGTTTATCCTTATTTTGCCATTACCTTGCTCAAACTTGTTATTGTATCAACCTCTGTGTTCTTTTGTATCCTGTTACTTGTCTGCTCTCATTTGTATTCATAGTTCACTTGTGTATTTGTGTGAACTTTTGTGTATAGAGTTAGTTCAGGTTGTTGGGTACATTTTGCACACACGTAGTTGATTCTTGTATTAGTCACACTAGTTCAGTATGGGTGAGTGCCGTTTGTCTTGTATGGTTTTGGGTAGTCAGTGGAGGTTAGCTAGGGTGTTGAAGATGCCGAAGACCGAGTGTTTCGGGTTTTCTCTTGTAGTCAGGTCAGCTTTCCCTCACTTTCCTAGCCAGCTCCATTTTGTTTGTTGTTTTCTCTTCTTTGCCACCACTCTAGTTCCCTTACCCTGTGTGTTATTGTGTCCAATTTTGAACCAGTCACTTATTCAACTTAAAATCATCACTTTTGCATCGACCCTTGTTATCACGCTTCCTGGTCCCTCTCCAGAACCCACTTGCTTCCAGAAATTATCCTAAATGTTACACCCCTTTACCCCTAGACACTTGGGGCCGTAACAGGACAGAATTCCTCAAGACTGCACCTGTAACCTGGTGCAACGGGTACTGTATGTTGCGGATGTACAGCTTGTACTGCTGCCTGTGGCAGCTGCCCATGTTGATCAGTCTGGTTAACGGAAAATATTGATCAGCTTAATTAATTGAATGAAAACATCTGTCATGTCCGTTGGGTAAAACATCATTACACTTGCTAAAAAAAGATTTGGTATTTTTCCTGATGACAACCTTGTGAATTTGTTGCAACTGTAAGTGATGTTAAGAACATAAGAAAGGTTACAAATGAGAGTGGGGGGGGGGCGTTCAGACCGTTTAGCCCATCTGGCAGTTAACAGGTAACTGTAATTGATCCAAGGAACTCATCCAGCCTTTTCTAGAAAGAAGTAAAGGTATCAGCTGCAACAACTAAACAACTTAGTAAATGTTCTATCACTTGATAATATATCATATTTATTATTTCACTAAGGATTTAATTAGTCCCTAAGATGAACTAATCTGATCTAACAGTTTTAGTTAGTGAACCATTATAAGGAGTCTGTAGTAGTGTAAGCATCACAACTTATTAGTGAGTGCAGTCATGGGTTGACTTTAACAGAGAGTAATAGGCAGTTTTAAACTTTCCTAATCTCAGTTCTGTTTTGTGTGCTGTACATTTAGCTGGAGTTAACAACTAATCGATATGCTTCAACAAAGCATTGAAACTGTTGTGTTGGAGCTGATCTTTCAAAATGATCTTTTGAGGAAAAGTTAATGAACAGGTACTTTGAGTCTTGCCCCCAATATTTGATCAAAAACGTCCTGTGATTTCCATTGGATAGGAAAATATCTTAGAAGGGCTCGTGTCAGTCAGATGTTTTGGGCACAATGAGTAGGCATAATTAGTCAATTCACATTTGGGCATAGTGAAAGATAACCTGTACAGGTAAAGATACAATCTAAGAGCAATGTAGGTAGTGATTCATTTTCAATGGGTGTTGGATTGCAAGAGAGTTGTTCCCCTTAAAGTTTAAGTTTAAGTTTCCCTTAAAACTTCTCCCAGAATAATGAATTGTAGTGTTGTTGACTTTATCTCTAGACTGCACAGGGGCCATGGAGTTTTGTTGAATCCTGGGCAATATGTGAACATTCTGGATGGAAATCTGTGTTCATCCTGTCAATAGACTCCATGAATACACCCATGCCCCTCTTAAATGGGCTGAAGTAAGATGTGAAGATGGGGTTAATTTTAAGTCCTTTCTGCATGAAGATTAGACTTCTAAGGCTGGAGTTTATGGCAGGAAAGGGGTTAACTGATAAGGATTCCAAATACGAGCTAACAACCCCCTGTGGACGTAATCTTAAACTGACCATTTGGCCAGGGTCTCTTAACTGGCCAAATACCATGACCCTCCTCTTTACCATAATAACGAATGACGTCAGAAGCAGCAAGGAAGGACTATATAAACCTAAAGTTTGTACCAGCACCTTGAACAATACTTTGGTTTTGTTGTTTCTTGTGGGAAACAAGACTTCGGCTTTATTGTTCCTTGCATGCAATAAACTCTTCTGTTTAACTTCATCTCAGGAACCAGAACCTTGTTCTTTCTGTTACAACAGGAAGATAGATCTTTTTGATGTGATGTCATTTGAATTAATACATTTAAATCACATGGACAGAGCTGAATAACCTTCCCCATGAGAAATAGAATTGTTAAAGGGATTTCATAAATAGCGGTCCCATACTAAAAGCCAGAGATCACCATCTGCAGTGGAATTAATAAATTCTGTACTTTGCACACATAATTAAACAATTTCTGATGCCATACAATTTTAATGCAGATATTTCATATCCGTAAGTGCTGCTGTTCTTTCAGGTCTCTTAAGTGCTGTTGTTGTGGATGAAAGGTCTATTTGCTGGTGATTGATAGGCAGGTGTAGACTGTCAGCCCCAGTTTAGCTTTATTACCCTTAAGACTAACAGTCTTCTTACTTATCTGTGAAAGCATTTTAAATCTGTTTCCGAGGATCTGAATCTAGACTCTAATATCATCAACTGCTTCGTTTTTATTTAGTTTCCAGATTCTGAAAAAAAATACATTGAGTCGGTATACATTTTTCAGTACTTGCTTTGGATCTTAATAGGAATGCAAAATCTAAATGTACAGGAGGTGAACTTGCTATATTTGTCTCAAATATCATCCAGAGGCAGAAAACATTGTCTTAGTAATGAATATGAAAACCTAATAATCCTATTTTCTTAACATCTCCTGCTGGAGTATTTAAAGAAATGAAGACGGAACAGCATCTATTACTTAACTTAAAATTCTTTTTTTTGTAAAACTGCTGCATAAACCAGAATAACATTAAAAACTTCACAAATTACATGTGTCTGAAATAATAGTTCATATGAAAATTGTTAAAAAACACATTAGAAAGAATTGATCCCGGCAAACTCCTAATAGGTCAAGAAAAAAACGGTTGTTTAGAAGAAAAAACAGAACCTTTTTTTGTTTTTCCAGGAGCATGTAATAAGGGAAGAGGCAAGAAGTCTGACTCCCCGACAGTGTGCAGTCATGGAGGTGGTGCTTCCTACTATCAAGGTATTTGCAGTTTTTATTCCCTAAGGCCTTAGTCCATGAATCAGCATTTTGGTAACAAGCTGGACAATTAAACTAATTTATCCTCAGATATTCTTGTTCTCTTGAACGTCTGACAGTGCTTTTTTATCTTCACCTAATGGTAAATAATTAGATATCTTTTCTTCCCCTCATTACACATCTATTTTAAAAAACTTACTATTGCAACCTCACTTCACCTCCTAATTACTGGCCACCTGTATCTTATTAGAATTCAGTCGTTTCTGCAGTTTAATCACCGCCTTTTACACCCACCTGAATAGAGGGATTTTAAATTGGAAATTGTAGCTGGGAACTTCTCTTACATTTACACTGTTACCTCATACAGTACTTATACTTTTTAAATTAACATCTGTACCTTTTCAGTCTACGTGGTATCCTAACATTTTTGGTCAATCAGCATTTTTTAGTTTGCTCAAGGTATCTGGGGAATGGATGAGATTGCTAATTAGCAGGGGAGAATAGACATCTGCTTATTTAAGCCATACTGAGCTAACGACATTTAGAAACCTTCAAAAATGTGACCACCATGAACTGTATTGTGAAAATATAGCTCTACCTTGTAGAATCGCATTGATTAGTGTGTCTCCAGGGAGATTGACTCTATGTTTAGATCAGTCATGATGCAGAAATTCATTTAATCAGTATTCTGTGTGGAAGACCCAATTAATAAAGATAAGCAGAAAGCGTCCTTCTTAATTCACAATGCTAGCTCTGGCCTAATGGCCAAGGAGCTAGGAAATGTCAAAGGAATCAGGACTTTAGACAGCTTACGCTAAGGCTTGGGTACACGATTAATCCATGACTTCAATCACTCCATTGTGCTCTTCACAGAAACCTGGAGAAATAGTACAAAAATATTGTCAGTACCAAACTGACTTTTAGTAACACATAGGACATGCTAACAGCTGTTTTTCTCACACAGCCCAAAAAGACAGGGGAGGGGACAGTTAAATCAGAAACAAATTGCTCATGCAAGGTGCACCTCCATTTGTAAAAATCTATTACATTGTCTTTAAAGGTGAGAGTAAATGCAAAACAATTTAATCAGTCATCAAGTGGAAAATGCAATCAGAAATTAACCAAATCTGCGTATGCTGTAATGTGAATCATACTCTCTTAGGATCATAATCCCTTCACACATCAAATTTTTGCGGTATCAAGACGAGTGAGGCTGTTGAGATGAAAGTGAGGCTGTTCAAATTAGTATTGATCAGATAAAATCAGATAAGTATTAAATTACAGTATATGAAAGCAGAACATGTTAATTTTCGCATGGTTTCTGTGTCAAGTACATCGCTGTAACCAAACTCCAAAATGCATTCTGCCACTTTCCGTCTCACAGTTCTTTGACATCTGATTTCAGTGGGACTTGAATACAGTGGAATGATTCTTACAGCAGTACTGACAACTGACGTGTTTTGTGTTTTTACCTGTTTATGTATTTCTGCAGATGCATTTAAATTAAATACTGTTTACAATAGTATGCAAGGATTGAACATCTTCTACAAACTCAGGAAATACAATATATTATACAATATATAAAAACAATACAGTATTTTATGAACAGCAACAATTTACTCAAAGCATCCACTATTGTTTACTGGTATTATAGCATCTCTGACTGTTGTGAGTGAGAATAGATCAAACCTGTCAGTTAGCGGGGTTTAATTCACATCAATCACAATCTTCAAAACCTTGATCACAACAGCTCAAGAAAGACTGAATGTAGTGCATAATGTATAACATACAAAGCAACCAATATGATGTGTTGTAGAGGTTAATCCATCACATTAACAATCAGATCTAATTGGCTTGTTGTCAGGTACTCCTTGACATTAACATAATTTATTCCTCTCTGGTCATTCATAAACATAAAAGGGTACTTTCTGTACTGTGCAGTACAGTATTAATTGTCAAAATAAAAATTGGTTAGGATTTTTTAATTAAATGACTAAACTTTCAGTGATCACCATAGAATTATTCTTACACAAAGGAAGAGAAACACAGAGTAAAAATAATAAAACAACATGAAATTACATTAATAATAATAATTATTGCTTACAATTATATAGTTTTTCTGGACACTTCACTCAAAGCGCTTTACAGGTAATGGGGACTCGCCTCCACCACCACCAATGTGCAGCATCCACCTGGATGATGCGACGGCAGCCATAGTGCGCCAGAACGCTCACCACACATCAGCTATCAGTGGGGAAGAGAGCAGAGTAATGAAGCCAATTCATAGATGGGGATTATTAGGATATAATAATCCAATGGGAAATTTGGCCAGGACGCCGGGGTTACACCCCTACTCTTTTCGAGAAACGCTCTGGGATTTTTAATGACCACGGAGAGTCAGGACCTCGGTTTTAGGTCTCTTCCGAAGGACAGCGCCTGTTTACAGTACGGTGTCCCCATCGCTATACTGGGGCATTAGGACCCACATAGACCGCAGGATGAGCGCCCCCTGCTGGCCCCACTAACACCTCTTCCATCACCAACCTAAGCTTTTCCCAGAAGGTCTCCCATCCAGGTACTGACCAGGCTCACACCTGCTTAGCTTCAGTGGGCTGCCAGTTGTGAGTCGCAGAGTGATATGGTTGCTGGCCGTTAGAAATTTGCACAGCTGTATAGATAATTTTAATACCAGAATTAATATAGCTAGGTTTTTGTGATCATTTTTGTCTCTTTTTTGCCTGGCGTGCATCTTTATATTAAACACGTAACATGAGGCAAATGAATTTTGAACAAGACTTGCCCTTGCTGTGTCTTTTTTTTGTTTGTTGGAACAATAATTTAAATAAAAAATTATTCTTTAAATTTTGTAAATTAGACTACTTGACATATTTTAGATAATGAGTGAATGTGTATCACAATAAAAAATGACCCAGTCCTGGTTTAAAAAATGTAATATACTAGTTACTGTCACTTTATGTTGAAAGTGAACTTTTCAAAAACGTTTTACAAATAATGACTCAGCAGATGGGCTTGTTTCACTCAGTAACATTACTGCAGTCCACACTGGCATGCTGAGAATGAATTATCATTAAAGCACACGTGTGAAAGTGCACACAGACCACAGAAGTAAGTCATTACTCTCAGATGAATGCATGAACTGGACTCATTTGCATTCTAAGCAATTGCTGGAGAAAAACAGCTATACTGCCCGTTCTGAAAAATAAATTCAAGGAATCATTTCTGAAGTCTATTCTACTGGAAATTCTATGAAATATGTAAACTGCATTTTAACTTATTATATAAAGGAGTCTCAGTGTTTACTCAAACTTTATATTACAAAGGCAATCTGCACCTTCAATTCAACCATTTTATTATTTGACTATTGTAAATAACAGGTTGAATACCAATATTTCTTACAGGCTAGAATTATTGTTAAACAAAGATGCAAGCTTACTATCTTTCTATTTTCAGAAACTTTATTGACTTTAGTGAGTTTTTCACCATATTCAGGATTACATTTCTTTTAATAAGCAAAGTAAACCCAGAAATGTGATGTCAGTGTACATAGCAACACATTGTGCCACATTTAGAACAAGAACTCAGTTCTGTGCACACAATGCTTTTCAAGCGTGAGGAAAACAATTAACATATCAAACAGAATTATTGTTTCTCTTACTTTCACTGAAGGACACATTTTCTGTAGTTAATTGTATTAACAGAATGTTGACAAATGCTAGAGATTTCTGTTTTTATCATCTCTTGTGTTTGGTGTAGAACCAATGACACACCTACAGCCCATCTACATACAAAATCAATATAACATTGAATAATCTAGCTACTGTAGGTAAAGCTGGAAGGCAAACAAGTTAATCTATTCATTTGCGCCAGAAAAATTAAGTTTGTGATGAAATCTAGCAACAGAAGGCAATTTATTATCTTATTTCTCTTAAATGATTGGTTTTGTTTGCTTGATTTAATTTGCAGAGTTCAAGGGGGTTAAGCAGCTGTCTTTATTTTGACATCGGTTTGTACAGCATTATAATTTGATTGTGACAACCGTCTTCTTCCAGTGCTGGGAGAAAGCCTTCAGGGCAGGAATGAATCTGGAAACTGACAACTGAAATCGGATTCTTTCAGGAGAATCACACTTGACATCTGAAGCATTAAATATACCTCATTCATCTCAATAGGACAGGGAACCACCAAGTATATTCGTCTTGCCTCCTTCATATCATATCATTCATATAAGCGCTTTGAGAAGCCACCTTTAAAGGCGCTGTATAAAATAAAGTTTATTATTATTATATCTAGTTTAAACAAACATTTAATTCCCCTGTCCAAAATGTTACTTTTTTATAATATAGCTCTTATTTTTTTTTTTAAATGCAGGTGATATATTTTTGAGTCAGACATACAGTATACTGTACAGTAGACGCTCCTGGTTCAAAAATCCACGATATCGTCATATTAAAAAAATAAATGTAATTCCCATGATGTGTTTCATGTACCCCAAAGTAAATTACCACAAATTGTGTTTTGTGTTTGTGTTTATATAATATCAGGTAAAATATGAGATTCACAAAAACAATATTTGCCTGTGTGAACTTTTATTTTGCATTGTTTTCATAGTATGCCTTTTAATTATGGAAGTAAACATTTTTCTTGTTAATATTAACAATAATATATTACATTTAGAAATTTCTCTCTCTTAGCAATATTTCCATGCTGGTGGAAATGGCCTGAAGAAGACATTTCTAGAGAAGAGCCCAGACTTGCAGTCTTTGAGATACGCTCTCAGCCTCTACACACAAACTACTGATGCCTTGATCAAGAAGTATATATGCACCCAGAACTCTCAAGGTAATGAACCTTTGTTTACACGTTCCATTCTGTTTTAAGTTATTTGTGACTTTTAGTAATAAGCTATTTCTCTGTTGATTGTATTAAGTTTTACTTCATTAACATTTTTGTCTTTGCCGGATGAGACAGCCTTTGCCCTCATTACACTTGTTCAGTTTTTGTTCAATCCAAATTTCTTGCAAGAAAATAGCAATGCATTGCAGAATAATATAACAATTATATAAAAAATTAAATGACAGACCACCAGGAACAACCATTCTTGATTTGAGGCAAAACATACGGTACATCACCCAGGGTTAACTTACCAGTAAAACCTTCCCTTTTAACTTCAAGATTAAACACACAATCCCAAGGATCAGGGGGCTTAATGGTGTGGATACTGCTGCCTCCTAATCTTCATCTTGTCAGTGAGTTATGAAAGGTGATGTTAAATATATGTTTATCAAGCTGCTATGTATTCTCAAAAGAAATTAATGTTTTTCAAATTGCGTGTCATTTTGAGGGAGACATGATATACAGTACCTAAACTACATTTGCTCTTTGTATCTGGTGTGCTGCCATTTTATTGACCTGCATCACAATGATCTGTGGCTTTCCCCAAAGTGCAGTTAGTCACTATATAAAAAAACAGAAAACAAATCAGCTGTTGTTCATTTTCTTTACATTTCTGCGGTGGGAGTAACAGGAATTATTTGTGGCCTCTGATATTTCCCTTTCAGTCTCTGATTAATAATTTATCAAAAATAAGAAAACACAGCATCTATCAAGACCTAGTAAGCACCCCTTGCTTTCAATACTTTCTTAAAATGATGAATACTCTGTTTGCACTTCATCATGTGGAATGAACCATCAAAAAATCGGAAAGGATATCAAACACTATTTCCTGTTGGTTGTGCATTTTTATGGCAATGAAAGAAAGTATTCAGAATGATAGTCCCACAGAAAGTGTTCTATAGATGAAATACTGGACCACTAGTTTGCCAATCTAAAATCTTGTTTCTTGAGATATAAAATACTTTTTTTTTTCCTCTACTGTTTGAGTATTTGTGTGGCTGTATTGTTTTAAAGATCACTCTTGATACCTTCATAGTGGAAGTACCCACTGGGACAAATGCCCCTTTTTTAATTTTACATTAAAATGATATTGTGAGCTTCTCTTGCTGCAAAGTGCAGGAGAGTTTCAATTTGCAACCCGCTAATGAAGGTTTGCACATCAGCACTTGCATCTTGTTGCAATGTAGTCCGTTTTCTGTTAAGATTGTTTTCAGATCAGCTGTGACAGGAATGAGAAGTTTCAGGAATATGATCAGAGAAGGGACACTATGTGTGTGCCATTGGCATCAGCTATTTATTTGAGTTGAGCTAAAAGAATATTAACAATCTTAATAGCCCTTTGTCCGGTTAGTCCTATAAAGAAGGATATACAGTACTGTATACAGAATAGATAAAAGCAGTGTACAGTAAATATAAAAACGTAATCCTGATCTTAATGCACTGTATATTCCTTTTTTAACAGTTTATTAAAGGGGAGTGAATACTTTTGCCTTTGTCTGTGCATTTCAATTCAAACACAGCTTGTTTGACCTGTGAAGCTATACAGTACGTTAAATAGAGCTGCAGTGTGTTGTGTGCTGTGCATTACATTTTATGACTTAAAGATCCATCTGGATTAATTCCTTGAAGTACAGTGCTTTGTGAAATAAATACGATGAACTGTGGCTGTTTTATTCAAGCCAGAAAGAGGTGAAGCATCCTGGTTTTACTTTCAGTCCTGGAGTGCTGTCTGCTTGGAGTATGTATATTTTTCTTACGTTTGTGTGGGGTTTTGATGGGTGAATAGTTTCCTCCCGCAGTCCAAAGACATACTGGTAGGTTAATAGGTTTCTGGAAAAATTGTCCCTGGTGTCACAATTTGTGTGCGTGTCTATACTGCATCTCTGTCTATGTGTGCTCGGTGATGGACTATTGTCCTGACAGGGTATATCCTGCCTGGTATTTGTTGCTTCCTGAGATAGGATCCGGCTCCCCTGCAACTCTGAAGTGGATTAAGTGGTTAGAAAATGGATAGATGGATTGAAAATGGAAAATAGTTTGTTAAACCTGAAAGCAAACACATAAACAATGAATAGTTAAGACCAGGAGGTAGGCATTTAAGGTAATGCATTCCTTTGGATTAAGAACTGCATGCTATTTGCATGGAAATGCATGCATTAAGAATGCAAAGGCTATTCTATAAAGCAGGCTTAGGATGAAGGATACATCATTTGGTGACGTTTTCACAAATTACTTTCTGATCAGTTATATTAACTTAGAGTAGTGTTACATTTAAGCAATAGATTCTTGTGTCAATACAAAATTGCAGTTTAAACATAAATTTACCATAAATGCTTCATGTACCTGAATAAAATATCTCTAAAAATGTTTTAGTTTTTAATCATATCCTGCGTAAAATATGTTTTTCACAGTGCTACAATCTATTTGACACTTAGAAATAAAAGGATTTTCTCTGACAAATGTGTATGTGTGTATGCCAAAATTTACACATCCAAATCCATAGAACTGTTAGATATGAGAATACATACATTTTCACAAATCTTTCTACATTAGTCTAATGCTATTGCTTCCAGTACTTTGCTTCCTGTGGAGCATGGCATTTTCAAATCTGTCTCACAGATGTTTGCTGGTGTCATTGTGACCAGTCGTCCATATCAAAATCCTGAAGAGAGCTTCAATATTAATGGCAATTTAGGCAGGTTGGAAAAGGCTGAGATTCCATTTCATTTTTTAGTGATAGTACTGCAATCCAGTCTTTGATCGAATTAAAGAAAGTTCTGCTGGCGTGCAAGCCAGTGGAACCTGATAGAACTCTGTATTTTTCTCCCCATCACTAAAGCTGAACATTTTCTCTTTCAGTCAGTATACACTATTGATTCTGTCTCTGCAAAATAGATTACATTTATTGGTGCCAAACTGCACTGCTAATCCCTGCAGCTGTGTCTTGGGAAGAGGTTTCTAAAATAAACAACATACATTAGGACCTCTTGCCCTTCAAAGTTTCTGTGTGAGCGGGAGCTGATACTACGTTAAAGTTCATTGCTTTATTGTAACTAATCAGTGTTTCAAGAGGATATGTTAACTTAGCTTCTTCACATACCTTAGCAAAGATGATAGTACTGAGAAATGTAGAATGAACAGATGTTCCTACAGGCACCAGGTCATAAGCAGCCTTAACTGGTGATCAATAACATGAGAATTCCCATCATTCAGCTCCCCCCTGCCCAGCACTTATGCCAAGCATGTCAAATCCTGGTCCTGGAGGGCTGATAAATTTTCAGGTTTTTATTTCAACTCAGCTCCTACCAGGCTCAACCAGATGGCTACTGTCGTAACTGGATCTGTTTAAGTGTTTGTTCGAGCTCTTCAGGTGCTGTTGCTCTAAGGAGACCTACAGTATAAAACCTGCAGACGCACTGACCCTCTTGGAGCAGGTCTGGATGCACTTGACGTAAGCCGAATGCATAAGTGACAAGCTGCAGCCAGCAAATGGCATAGCCAGTCTGAAGAACAACCTCTAGGCAATCTGCAATCCAAGAGCACAGGCTCTTGCCATATAAGCCACTCATGAGTCCTGATTCGGAAGCCTCTCTAGAAGCTCCTGCCATAGCAGAAGTGAATGAGTTTCTGCTATTTCTCCTCCACAGTGAACATTCATAAAAAATAAACAGAAGCAAGCACCCTCAGAGGAGACAAATGAATATCATTATGGGTTACTGCAGATAATTAATAGGCATACGTTACTTTTTTTCTGATTGTTACCCTTGTTATGTTAAGAACAATTTAACTTTCATGCATTTTTGATAAGACACCTCTCACAGTTACTCTTGAATACAAGTCCCTTGATCCCACTGCAATAATCATTGTTTTCGTTTCGTCTCCACTGTATTGCCTTCTTCCTGACACGTCCTTCAGACTGACTACAGCTGTGACAAAAACTCATCCGTGTGCTGCGGCTGCAGCTGCTTTTATTAATGCAAAATGTGGCAGCACAGTATCCACAACCGCTGCAGCTCTCTATTCCTGCAGCTTGCCCTTTTCACTGATGATATTACCGTAGGGCTTTCCAAGGCCTTGTATTCTGTGCTTGTGAGATCCGGGGTTGACCCCGTTAAAACTTGATTACTTTGCTTATTTAATAGAAAATCCACCCTCAGATATGGTTTTGTCCTGATCTAAAGGCAGCAGGATAACAAAAACATTGCTGATTGTATAGAGAAGGGTATCTGAATCCATGCAAGCTAAAGCAAGTTGAGCACAGCCCTCAGTGTAGTCTGGCTTCAAGCTCTTCAGTCATCTTCTGTGCAGCCGGGTGGAACCTTATTCAGTAGAGACGCAAGATATATTGGACTGTAGTATATACCAGACAATAAAAAAAAAACGGAAACATTCTGTCATAAAAACTGAAACTTGCTGTCTGCCTTCCGGATCATTAAGTTTAGTAGATGGTTAATTAATTAATCATCATCTGTGCTTCCGTGCTTTTTCTATAATGAACATTTTCCTTTAGTGCCGTTGTGCATCTCCTTTGGTACCGCAGCTCTTCAGGTCTTTAACTGAGAGCTTTATACATCACTGACTCAAAACTATAATGATGCCCCCTGTTGCTTTGTCATGCGCGTGCATATTCTACACGAAATAAAGAAAAACTTGTATTTTAATTATGATAACAGTGCATTTATTACCTACAGTTCACGTTGTGACAAGTTCCGCTGTTATTGTATATAAAAGACACTTCAAGCTGTATTGAGGAGAAGCCTCAGATTTGCATTATTATTTATGAAGCTTTGTTTTATACAGTTTATACAGTATATAGTCCCAATGCCATATGCTGTATACAGTAACGTGTTTTGCTTACTAGCGTTTCAATTAAAGATGCAATCACAGTTAACTGGATAAGTTCCTAGTTACAATCAGATTGTTTAGCAGAAGTTGTGTGTGCTCTT